GATGAAAATAAACGTGCTTTACAATATTCTTTCCATCTAAGAATTGTTTGACGATCTTCGTCATATGAGCCTTGACCATCTGGAAATAAATGAGGAAAGGCTAATGCTTCAATCTTTTTATCTGTTAATAATGAACTTAATTTATTTTTTTCAGCTGGTGCCACTACGCATGGTTCTTTATCAAACACTAAAAAATCATTAAAATCACATGGTTGAGTACATGAATCTGTACCAATATTATATTTAGTACGAATATCTTTATCATCTTCATTGATTTCTTCATCACTATCAATAGTATTATCAATATCACCCAAAGCTAATCTTTTTAGACTATGTTCATTAGATACTTCTGTTTGTTCAATGACAGCTTCTTCTGATATGTTGTCAACATCCATTGGTTCAACTACTAATTCAATATTATTGTCATAGTTTTTTTCTTGATCAGATGTAAGATAATTTTCATGAATATCATTTATCTTTATGCTTTTATATCCTGGATGCATCTTAGTTAAAACAAATAGTGCATCTCTTACATCATTTGGATTTATTAATTGTTCTTCCCATACAGCTTTGTATTTTAGTCGTCGTTTCAGTTGTAATCGGACCATCATGGATTTATCAACTGGACGAGGTAAGATAGTTACAGTGTCTTCTACATCTGATGGCACACAATGAAGTGGTCCTTTAGTACCTTTTTGTGTCAATCTACTTGATAGTTTTCCTGATGTTAAATTTACGATTTTCATAAATGGTAATCTTAAAGCAATCAAATGTTTTTCAAGATTATTTAATCTTTTTAATTCAGATGGAATCTCACAAACTTTCAACTTATTCACGACTGCTCGGCTTGGCATTTGTCGTTTCTTTATTTTGTCTGAACATGACTTACAAATCCATTTTTGTTCTCTTGACGATGAATACATACAGTAAGATTGAATATGTTCTTTTATTTCATATGACATGTTTTCTTTTATATACTTTTCTGCAACAAATGGTATCACCTGATTACGAAAAAGTGCTAACCGACATGATAAACACACATAATCAGGTCCTTCTCGAATAATTTTTCGAAACTCTTTCAAGTT